TGGAGAATGTATTATTATTAAAATTATTTTGAATGTAAACCTACTTTTGGTAAGTCAATTTGCTAAATGGGAGGACAAACAATTTTATTCCCTCAGACAATCTTTCAAAAAGTTTACTAAATAAGATATGACTATCAACAAAAAGAGAACTTATCTATGCTGCACTTTAATGTTTGTAATTAGATGTACAGTATTAATGCCTTCAAAATTTATTGTATCTTTACAGTAAAACGAACAGAGACAGCATTCTCAGACTAACTTTCGATGGAAGTGAATGCCAGCTTTGCAAGGTTTGCATTTTTTCAGACGTTCTTGTTTCCTGTACAAGCGCTATAAATAGAAATTAAATTATAGTTTCCATAGAGTATAAAGACAAATCATTAGTTTAACATTCTTAATTTAAATAACATATTTTTTTCAATTGAAAGCACTGGCTTATCCAATGTAATCATTTAACTAAAATAAAAACCATCATCACAGTGAATAAGCAAGGGAATGTGTTTGTTAGTTTTAACAAGCTATTATGTGTTGTAATTGTATTGTATTGTACTGCCAAGGGGGGAAAAATATAACCTTTCTTTTTATTATACAAAATACTAAATACCAAGGTTCTAAAAATAGATTTTGATATCATCTGAGCTGCAGTGGATTATACTGTACATTTATTAACTTCATCACTGCAACAGCAAGCAAGGGAATTATTTCTTATAGTCATATAAATTCTGTTCACACTTAATGAAATTAGAAACTTTCTCCTTGTTCATTATCTAGATCAGTTGTTAACATATATTACTTGAGGTAGCAAAATTGTCTTGATGGTGTACAATCGTGAACAAATATTTTTCTTTAGTTTATTTTTTTTAATCACATCCAAAAAGATATTTGCTTATTACAAAATGTCATAATTTATAACATATTCATACAACCTACTGTTTAATGATAAATAATGAATATATCTCTGGCCTTGACATCACATTTTGATCTGTGAAGATTCATAGTACAAAGGAGAACCCCTATTAAAAGACACATTCAAGGTTAATTTACTGTAATAATCAAGTACTGTACTATCAATAAACGATGAAGTATTCCTATTTTATAATTTTACAGAGCTTTCTACTGGACGTACAATATTCTGCAGATCGAATATTAGAGTAATGAATGAGCCAGGCAACATGAGTACTGTTGTAGTGCATGAAATAAGTAATCAGGCTGCCAGTTATGATGGAAGTCCATTACAATCCAATGATAATGGCTAAAGGCCATCTTACTGTCCAGACTATTAAATTATATTTGACAAAACATGCGACATGCTGACAGTGTATGGTCATGATGTTACCGCATCATCACTATACTCTATATAGGCACATATGACTACATCGTCACCGTTTTCACGAAGAGACGCAAACTTTAATTTCGACCAAGACAACAAGAAAAACGTATTTGAAGTGGACTACTTCACAAATTCGTAAATTTCACTATCAAGATATCGACCTTTTAAATAATTGTTTACATGTTTAAAGATAAAGCATCAAACAATTCAAATGTTTAATGTTATTTATTAGTTAACCAGATTCACACTAGAAAAAAATGTTACTTGCAATCAAGCACGGTGCCCTGCTAATTTGTGTCTGTGTGAATACGTAACTGTGTGAAGATTAGCACGAGTCCAATGTATCCATGTAAGAAAAACCAACATCACAATGGCCTGTATTTCTGAGATTGTTTTAAAGGAAGATCTGTGCACATGCTCAGGGTAATATTTAAGATATCGAGTCAAGCAGGGAATGGGGACAATATTGATGTACAATATCAAGTTGACATTGTAATATAAATTCCATGAACAAAAATAGTCGCATGAATACTAAATGGCCAGAAAAGCTATTGAATGGCCAGACAGTCACATGAATTAATAAATGGTCAGATGGCCAACATGAATTATTGAATGGCCAGATAGCCACATAAACTATTGAATGACCAGATTGTCACATGAATTATTAAATGGTCAGATGGCCACGTAAATAACTGAACGGCAAAATGGCCACATGAATTACTAAATGACCAGGTGGTCACATAAATTATTGAATGGCCAGATGGTCACATGATTTATTGATTGGCCAGATGGCTACATAAATTACTGAATAGCGAAATGGCCACATGAATTATTGAATGGTCAGATGGTCACATGAATTATTTATTAACTGGTCAGATGGCCACATAAATTGTTAAATAATGGCAAGAGGGAAAAGATCAATGAATAGCCGGCCTAACTTACCTCTGGACAGCCGTTGCGACGGTTTAACTGGACAGTCCATACATCTTGGTCTCCTAGCCGCTTGTAAATATTGATATCAGTCAGATCCATAAGTCTCCATTTAATTGCTAAATTTTGCTGAAAATGAAAAAAAAAGTCACGATCAATAAGGATTAGGGGAAAAATCCAGAATGTATGAATGGAATCAATTTGCATTAGTTAATAATTTATTTTTATTTATTACATATTTGGCACACATAAACAGATATAATAAAGTATTGTTGGTTAGCAATAACACATTTTTGCATATGTTTTTAGTGTCGTTTTGTAATACCTTAGCAACAATATCCGGGGGGGGGGGGGGGGGGGGGGATAGCAGGAAGGAACATTCTACAACCTCTGACCTTGACCATCTGGCAGACAACTCTTTGAATGTACCCTCCTACAACATTAATACAAACTTTGTTGATTTTCAAATGAACAGTGTTGAAGACCTACTACAGACATCTTTTTACCAGGTCAGCAATAAATACAGTACAGTACCAGGTCAGCAATCCCAGGGTTGTTATACTGTATACTGATAGTGTGTCAAAAATTAATACTATATTTTTTTAAAAATTAAAATACCTTAATCAAATTAAAGTGTCTAAATATTTTACTAGGCTACGTTTGCAAAGTAAAGAGAAGGGTTTGTTATCAAATGAATGCTGTAAATTTTGTGAATTTGTGCTATAAAACAATAAATAAGGCCACTGTAATATCAATCTGTATCATGGAGTGTATTTAACTGGCAATAAATCACTTAAACTACTATATAAACCAAGCTTTTGTTTTTTTGTATTTAATTTATTTTGTTTTTTGAAATTTATGTACAGTGTACTGTACTATCTCACCTACCCATATACTACAATATCTTGTAAAGAAGCACAAGGGCTTATTTTGGATGATAATTTTGCGAAGTAAAGAAGGGGGGGGGGGCTTCTTTTTAAAAATGAATGCTGCAAATTTTGTGAGTTTGTACTATAAAACAAAAAATAAGGCCACTGTAACATCAATCTGTATCATGGAGTGTATTTAAAGAGGGGAGTCCCCTTCAATTCAAGATGGGCTTCAATTCAAGGTTTTACAGTACTTATGTTTCAACATTTAATTCTACTTTACTGTATTTGTAATGTGAAATACATGGTACCGAGGCTAACACATGGCAGGGGTTCCGGGATTCAAGAAATCCCTTCTGGGAAAATCTGCTTAAATGAGCTTTCTTTGTTTAATTTCATTTTGCTGCGCATGGCTATACCCATTGACACTGACTCCTGTGAGATAATTGATAAGAAACTAGCAAAAAACATGAAAATATTATGAATTTGCTGGAGATGGGATGTTGTCAGGGAGATTCTTGTTTGCTTGCTGGGAGTGTGGGAGGCCATCCCGATTTCTGGGAGACTCCCACGGCTTCGAGGAAACTTAGGACACCTGCCATTGTGTATGGATAACTTGGTGGTAAAAAACTGCATTACAGCATTAATTTCTCATGACTACAGAAAAAATATCCGTAAAGCCTTATATTGAGATTTTGTTTATGTAGTGCTTCAAGTATTTGTTTGTCCTGTGTAAGGGATTGCAACTTATTAAAAAAAGACAGTGATAATTATCATTATTGACAATCCTTGGCTCATGTACTTAAAACTGAAGAATAATAAAAAAAATTAGTCCTGGGACACATTGTACACAGCCAAAGCACTGCCAACACTTTAAACTTCACTAGCCTAGCTTACTGTAGGCTGGAAGCTCATTGTCTGAATTTCTTGAACTTTGGTAAAAGCCATCCCCAAACTCCTCCCAATTTCATTGGGTTGCCTAAACCAGAGGAATTACCATAGCTTAGTGCAGTTACCAAGGATTTTGTGTTTGATTCTGACATGTGTGTAGCAGTAGCGGATCCAAGAACTCAAAACAGGGGGCCCAGGGCCCAGGGCCCAGGGAGGGACATTCACAGAAGGGGGTGTGCACCCCAGTCTCACTATGGTTGGGGCTGAGGTAAGAAAATTTATGATTATGGCATTCTCACACCTTAATTTGATCATAATTTTTTTTTCTTTTTTTTTCTCTATTTAAAAAAAAATAATCTTGAAAAATGTAGGGGGTCCTGGGTCGGTTCATCTGCAAATGTACAGGATAGTATGATGCAGCACCAAGGTCTGAGTAAGTGCACATGGGTATCATATTACTACAATAGATAGAGAGACAATCAATGAACAAAAAAGAACATTTAAAGAACAATGACACCGGCTGAGGCTTTCATCCAGCAGCGGACCGACAATAGCTGATGATGAAAGGACACCAGCAATGCGAGGCATTAAGTCACAATGATTACTGTACACCATCATATCTTGCACTTTAGTGTTGTGCACATGACAAAACCATACATTTCTTGCAAAAAGTACAAGTTCTTACATAGTGGGTTAACTTTAAACATTTAAATAATACCATAATAACAATTGCATTTTACAGACAGTATGGTACCAGTACAACCAGACAAGCAGAATGAAATCTGGTTATTGTCTGCCAACAAATGAAACATGTGCCATGATAATTTCTGTCGAGGTCTAATGTTGGTCAAGGCGAAATACAGGTCACTAATAACCCCCCTTTTTTTGAAAAGCCATATTGTCCCCGAGATAAACCTAAAAATAGATGTTTTTCAAGGTTTTTCTTTGTCAAAATTGCACTGTATTGTAAATACTGTATCAACCAGGTATTGGCTTTGGCTAGCATGGCCACAAATGTCTGGCTCCATAATAATTCATCATGTGATATAAATTCATTATCTACAATTATTATTATTATTATTATTATTATTATTTTGAATTGTAATCAATTGAATTGGAATAAAATTATTTAAAGTTTCATAAAAATGTCTACTGTATATAGTTAAATAGCCTGATATAAAAATAAAAAAGAATTAATATTTAATTTAATACGTAAATGACCAAATTTTTGAATGGACAGATGGTCACATTTATTACTAAATGGCCAGATGACTACATAAATTATTGAATGACCAGATGGTCCCCATGAATTACTGAATGGCCAGATGGCCCACATGAATCACTGAATAGCCAGATAGTCACATAAATTACTACAGTAAAATGACCAGATGTCCAGACCAACTATTGGCCACATGACGAAGAATAATTCAATAAATGGCCACATAGTTTTGAATGTATGGTGCAGTCTGAATAAAGAAAACATGTAATAAATGAATGAATGAAAAACATATTTAATGAATGAATGTATGAATAAATGATCGAACGAAGAAAAACAAATGAATGATGGATTGACTAAGTGAAGAGAAAGACTGAAACAATGACTGGATAACCAAATAAAGATTTAAAAAGTGAAATACATAAACAATGTTAATAACTAACCAACTGAAAGAACGGGTTATTATAAAATAATGAAGATACTACTGTATGAACAAAAATATTGGTTAACTAACCAACTGAATGAAAAGGTTATTATAAAATAATGAATATGTATGAATGAACAAACTAACCAACTGAATGAAAGGGTTTATAACATAATAAAAAATAAACAATGAATGAATTAATAATAATAAACAAGATATAATTAGCTAAACAACCTAAAAAAATATTTCTGAATAGGTACAGCAGGTACATGGCATAAAAATATTTTTCAAAACACACTAAAAACATGTGGACACTAGCCAATTACCTAATACTTTAACAGGATTGGGAAACATGGTTTGCTGCTTACTGAATGTTTTGTGGTTTTTAAATATTATAGTAAATTAGTTCCTACCACAACTTACTGTAGGAAGTGACCTTAAGCAGCTGGCCTTTAAATATTCAATAAAAAATATTATGAATAATTTATAAATAAATTATACTGAATGTTTTAATTAGTATTTTTGCCACAACACTGTGTCATTTAGTACAGTGTGGCTTGCCTAGTTAAGTTCAATGATATGAAATGTACATATATACTAATATATTTATTTTCTATTATTCAGTAATTATAAATCATTAATGAATAAATGTTGAACAAATGAAATTATGAATAATTAAGAAAAATTAGGCCAAGTAAAAACAAATTAGTTCCTAATATATTGAAAAAGGAGAATGAGGGCACTGTTTTTTACTCCGAGATGGCAAATCCAAGATGGTTGATGGGAAACAGTTACTACTTTCTAACTTTTACCAAGTAGACACATTGAAAAACAAATAATAGAAGCACTGGACAGGATTCATACAATGTATCCCCAATCACCAACGATTGAGAAAGGAATATTACTGATGTGAGTTAGCCAGATTTTCATATATTTCGTAACATAAAGGCAGTAAAAAGAAAAAAAAAATTGGTGAGGCAGAGAAAATGGATGCACCAGGGGATAAGAAACTAGTAACTGTTTTACTTGGCCTTAAGCTCTGTCTACACTTTCAAATTTTGTGTGATAAAAAAGTGTGATATGCCCATATATGGGCATGATGACATCACACCATGACCATATATAGGCATAGCATTACTATATATGGGCGTGTCACATTTTTTTGTCAAAGTAAATTTGATAGTGTGGATAGAGCTTTATAGAGACTTTACCTGGCATTCAATCTCAATTCCTTTGTTTGCAGATATACGCACAATGCAAGGTCTTTCACCTTGCATCACGTGATACTGTTCCACAATTAGCATCGGCTTGTTGTCAATCAGAGAAGCCAGAAACATCAAGCGGTAGCACGTACTTCCATCTCCACTCTCCTCCGTGAACTTTCTCAGGCTACCTCTAACCTTCATCTTTAATCGGTGTTTATCAATTTTGTTGAGACACCTAAACCATTCCTTCGGGACAAAAGACTTGAAGTGGCTGTCGGAGGTCATCCGCAAGGGGTGGCTACCCTTGTTGTGTTGAAGAATGCTAATGACGATCAAGCCTAGTCTGTCCTCTGTACTCAGGTCTTCAATCTGTCCATGGATAAAATCATCATGGAACTGTTCGTAGAGGTAATTAAGCACTTGCTCCTCATATGAGTTTAGCGCGTGTGCATCAGTCACCACGTGAAAACGAAATCTAAATATAAGATCGCTGTCCTTCTCAATGCGTTCCTTGGGGCTAAGCCACATCTTAGTCTCCCTGTGGCAGATTGCGAACAGCGTAGAGCTCAGGCATTGGATGTTACACTTAGCCGCAGCCTTCTTGCACACCATCTCTCCAGTTAATTTCTCATGCCATGGAATTTGTAACTTCTCCTTTTGGCCGTACAATTGAACTTTTACTGTGTCTTGATTGCTTGATGCCATTTCTTGTTCTTGCTGGTTTTTAGGGCGAACATAAAGCCCCATCTTAAATCGTCTACAACATCCGTGAAATGGCCAGTGTCGCCCGGGCTGGTCTTTGAAATTCTTAGGCATCTAAGAAAGAGAGAAAAAAATATTAAGTCATTTAAGATTGGTACTGTACACTCACAAACCACTTGTTAAAAATCTGCGCCAAAATTGGGAATCACCTTTTAAGTGGTACTATTGGTTATGTAATATTCAAAATGACTGGCGATGAATTCAAGACTTTTCTATACCTTGTTAAGCCAATAATGATAATTTTAAATAAAAATAAATTAGCCAATTAGCGCACCCACTGCCACGCAAAAATTGAATTGTTTTACGCCTGCTGCTGCCACAAAATCTACTAAAATAAGATTTCTGTATTTCTTCCTAATCATATAAATTTAAAGCATTTAACTTTCCCATTACTACACTGTTTACATTCACCAATAAAATTTTATTTTTATTTTCTCCTCTGACTGGATGATTCTGGCAAAAATATTTGCTAAATTTAGTCAACAAATTTTTATTTCTATTTTTTTCCGGCCTCCTTTGAAGATCTTTAAAAATATAAGTTCGCGAAAAAAGCTATAAAAAAAAGTCTTGCCTTACCAGGTTAATATCACCTTTTTAAAAAGATTCCATCATTCTTCGGTGTAGTAATCATAATTCAAATTAGTGTGGTGTTGAAGGAAATGGTTCATCATTTTAATTGCTTAGTTAATCTTGTCTAGCATATCACAGCTCTGATAATTGGTTTGGAATAAATTATTTTATTGTTAACAGTAAAACCAATTTCTTTGCTAATTTGTCAAGACAATAATACTGTACATTAAAACACCTATTAAGCAGACACCTTCCCCTTAATAGGATGTCCCCTGAATAAGGTTTGGCTCTAGTGTTACCATTTAAGATATACTGTACTTTCATTAGTTTCGTGACTGATAAAATGTCCCCAACAGGGGTGCTCCTTAACACTCTGTCCGCCAAACACGGAGATCTCCGTGTTTGCTAACGCAACGCTCGACCGCCAAACACGGAGATCTCCGTGTTTCAGGTTTTTGTACGGAATCCGATAGATGGGGTAATTACAAACATGTACTGACAATTTGAACACTATATTCAGTCTGGACCGTAAGTAGTTCGCTATTTGTTTGTTTACATTAGCGTTGTGCGGTATTGATTTACTTTCACGAAATCGCTATTAACTCAGCTTCGTTGTGCAAAATTGCGTAAATCTCCAAAAGTGAGTCATTTTCATTTTACTGTTACGGGTCACCGATTGTGATTAGAAAAACTGCTGGCGGTCAGAGTGTTAATAGAGGTGTCCCAAATGAGGACTTCTACTGTAGTTCTTAAATAGCATTACCACAAGACAGTTTAGAGTTCATCTCCATTGTACCATGCATGTTATCTATATCAATACGATATTATTAATGAATATGACCATTAAAATATTTTAAACCTGTAACTATCTATAGTGATTGACAGAAAGATCAACATGCTTATCCGGTGTATATTATTCCTATACCAGTAAGATGATCGCTATATTTTAACGACACAAACACTGACACAATCACTGCAATGAACAAGCAACTGGCATATCGGCCTTTGCCTGCATCAATAATGTATTACTTCCTTGTATGAGCTCAAAGAATATTCATATATTCAAATTGAGGCAGATTTACTACGTACGAGGCTGCCACATTCATGAAACTGTATACAAATGGGAAATTAAGAACTGAATATATTATCTGTTCTAAGAATGTAATTTAGTTTATATTTAATTAAAGATTCTGTGACATATTGTAAATATGGTAAATTCTTTAACCCTATTCCCTCTCCCTCCACACCACTCCCCCCACCCACAAAAAAAAATAGTTAGTTTTTCAATTTAAAAATGATTCTCGTAAAAAAGTCTATATTACTGAATTTTAATTTGTGTCTTAATTGTGGCTGATGAAATACTGTACATTATTTGTTCATTTTAAATGTGCAATTCAATATTTAAATTGAGATTTGTCCTACAGTGTAGAATATGTTTAAAAGTCATGACCTTTATAATTGGCATTTCATCCAGTAGTTAACAACCAGAGTGTTATCTCTAGTTTCAGGTCAAAAGTTCAGAGTGTCAGCTAACACTATTTCACTCGCCCCATATCAAAGCATACTGTACTGCATCCCTCCTACAGTATGACTCTGTAAGACAATGTGCAACTTGTACAGTGGTGAATTAATTCACAGTAGCTACATTATCACATAGCTTCACCTGTAGGTATATGTCGAAGGTCAAGACATTAATAAACAACCTAGCTTATTACACAATAAACTTTTAACACCACAATAAAATAATAGGCAACAGGACCATAAAATAATATGCATTCATTCGTCAACCAAATGAATACAGTATATATTGCACGTTCATGCTGTAATTAAGATAGATTTTTAGTTTATAATATGTGATTGACCTTTGAAATACACAACTGAAAGTACAGTAGCATTGGTTTGAACAGCATCTCAAACATATGATGGACTAAAGATGTTTACCTGCCTGCCTCCCCCTCCCCCCAAGTACAGTAAGAGACAACAACAGGACCAAAAGTGTCCCCTTTATGGGGATGTTCCCTTAATAATAGAAGCATTCTTGTAATATGTGCATCCCATTAATAGGAGTCACAGTAGCTATAGTTTTACTGTAAAACACTTCCGTCAATTCGAAGCCAAAGAAGTGTCCACTTAGTAATACAGTAGTAACATTTATAAGCATCTCATTGTGTCAAGTACTTCTTTGCTTCAAGTTCCTGACATGCTCTGTTAAAAATGAGCACTTCAAATAATTGCTTTCAAAAATTACATAATATAAAGAAACTATCCCAGATCCATTCAAGAAAAGTACAAGCTTAGGTTCACACTAGAGCCCTAGTATGTGAATCGGGAGCTACTGTAACTGTTAGCACTGACTGTTAGCACTCATATGAGAATGGCCGATCAGTTAGGCTAACCGTTACCAGGATCTGGATATGCTAACAGTTAGCAAGTTGAGCTTGTTTCTATCATGTACCAATCACACATATACGCATTTCCAATTTTGGGTTTCCTATTGGCCAGTTGATCCCAATGTCATCTTCTTGATATCTGGATTGGGGCTTTTCTTGTACGAACGCAAGGGTGAGTGCATATTATTTCTGGATCCTGGCGTGCGAGATCGTTTCAGTATTAAATTTCAAATTGATTTCCTACTGTAGATTTTAACTGTTCTCAGTTCAGAGGTCAAACAAGTAGGTGTGCCAGTGTTTATTTTATAATTTCATTTGTTTATTTAAAATCAACTCTACACATGAACATACATCATAATTTTTAATATTATCATTGCTGTTTTATTATCTGTTCAAGTGTAGGTCTACAGTACTAATAATATATGTACTGTGTTATAAACATAAGTTGTAGAATTTACGGCACAGGAAGATGGACATAATAGGAACAGATTTTTGGACCAGTTCTGCGTCCCTTTTAAATTCTTATTCAACATTCTCATCAAGACTTGACTTGAGCATCAGGGCCTAAGGCACTATAAAAAATATTATTAGGTTATCACCCTATCTGGGCAGGAAATGTGATAAGGGAGGGAGGCCAAAGCCAATCACCCTTGGGTTGTTTGCTGGTGCATTGATATTCAAAGTAAAACATGATTTAGATAATGCAAACAATATCTACTAAATATTTAATAAAATAAATGAAAAAAATAAATAAATGAAATTAAAAAAAAAATTTTATTAAAAAAAAAAAAAAAAAAAAATAATAATTTTCTAGTACCGCAGGGTTTTAAACTAATAAATTTTTTTTATTGGGCCTAATGATTAGCTTTCTCCTCTCAGTTGCTAAGTAAAAGCTCTCTACTTCCTAAACCTTATAAGCAGTGGTGATATCTAGATGGGTTCCCATCCCGCCCACCTTCCCACTCAGACAAAGCCCCACCCTTCAATCTCTCCCCACTGAAAAAGTTCAAAGTAACAAAATCGTACTCAAATCACCTCCTATCACCTTATTTTGCTATCTAGCGCACCCTTGCTCAATCTGGGAGCCCCCTACTCCGCCTTCATGCCCCCATCAGCTCGCCCCATTTCAAAACTCCTAGATACACCACTGCTCATAATACAGTATGACAGTGTACAGCACTGAGGGTCCCTAATTGTAAAATGTTCGGTGATATACCTTGTGCCTTTCATCTTGTTTGGAATTGGCACCATATAAAATTCAAGATATTATTATTAATAGTTTTGTTTTTTGTTTTTTTTAATAAATTCTTAAGATTTAAAGGAAAAATTTAAAGGAACTTAACAACTAACCAATCACAACAGTGCCAGGAATAAAACATGTGCTGTCCCACAAACACAAGTGCTTACACATACATTTATGCTAATTATTTTTCGGGATCTTAGCAACAATATCCAAAAGTTGGAGCTTAGCAAATAGGTCTACTCCAATATTAAAGCAGTTTACAAGAACACTATCAATTACTAATGGATCCACTAAATATATTCAATGTTTTGTTCTTTTTTGTTTAAAAACTGTGTAACTGTAAGTAAATAAGTATTTTAGCAATATTTTTGGAACAACAAAAAATGAAAACAACATTGAAATCTAGATATTCATAATAGTACAGCAGTTTTAAAAGAAAGTCGACCAATTTGATTATGACTAAGATAAGACCTTGATTCACACATTGTAATCTAGGCCAGACTAATCTTAAGTGAATAGATGATAACAAGCTGACCCTGGTCTGACCCAAGAAGGTTTAGCTTCTGTGTTGTAGACTATAGGTGGTTTACCTTTAGGAACAAAACACTTCTCTACCAAAACATCTGCTCCATACTGTGCACCTACTGTATCTGTCAGAAACTCTGGCAAAAAATGTTTAGATATACAGTACAGTATGTTGTACAGTGTACAACTGATTTCTCTATATACACTTTTCAGTCTACACTGTGACTACAATCCAAAACTGATTACTGTACTCCTGATTGCATTCAACAAATGCATTCAGACCAACACAAACCAACTTTACATTCTAGGGCCTACATAGGCCTAATGTTGACTGAGCTTAGCCAAACAGTGCCTGTGGAATTTGTTGTGATTTGTTCTATTGGATTCCGTGGTAATCAGGAGTAATAAAGATTGTAGCACCCAATCACAACAGGTAACAATTGCGATATCGATTACATATCGACTACTATTGGTGAGCTTTTACACACGATTTTACTTTGTGATTGAGTGTCGCAATTGCTACAACCGATTGCAATGTGATGCTAGTCTGAATGGGATATAAGTCACAAAAAGGGTGTTTGACAAAAAAGGTTAATGATACAGATTTTTGAAAAATTATAAACTAGGGGAAAGGGGATGCACTCTTGGTACACATTCTATGTCTTTGATCAATTATATTTTGAAATTGTCAACTTAAAAATGTTTATGATTGAAATTGAATAACATTTCCATGGAATTTAACAAAAATTGCAGCGAAAATTTGAAAAACAGTTACCATATTGTCATATGTAATCAAAATATAATTTAACTATTCTAGGTATTTACTGCATATAAACTAGAATTTCTATTTATTTTAATTTGATTGAAAAAAAATGTTAATTAAACCAATAGATGTAAAATGTGGCACAGGATGTTTGCATACTGATAATATGTTGGAGAATGCAAACTAGAGCCCTGGTTTATTCAACTGTTTTTCCTTGAGAATAAATGTATATTATCTGTAGACCTAGCTAGGCCCCTCTTTTGAGCATAATATAAAGAAATATTAACTAAAACTTTTAAAAATTCCCATCACCATCACCACCACCAGCGACTGGGTGATGATGAAAGAGGAAATGTTTGTGTAGAATTCAACATTGATTAATATAAATGAACTAAAAAATCAATCATGTTTACGTTAAAATACAGTGACGGTGTAATGTGTTAGCATACAACCTAGAAATCCGCTAACAAAACACAAAGCTTGAATAGGCCTAGGCCTATTCATCCCCAACTATCCTAGAGAGTTGAGGCCATCCAATCAACACAGAAAGGCGATTCCAAAGTCGTGTGCTTCTGTCTTACCCAAAGATGTACTTACCTACAGAATTGAGACAGACAACACCACGCCTGGATCTCGATGTCTTACGACGTCTGATTTGATATCATTTAAAAGTTTACCTAAGCACATATACGGCCGAATAATCAAAGATATTGACATGTATCCAAAATTTCACATTTTCCTCCCCTTGTTTCGCTTTTCTTGAAAGAAAACAATAGGAGTTGAAAGCAAACCGATGGTGTACTCCAGTATAAGTGACCTAGACGTGACACGGAAATGACATCAGTGACTGCAAGCGAGAGGGGGTGCTTTTCAAAATTAAATGATTGACATTCACAATGTTTATTTGATGTTACGGCGAGACTTTTTTATATTTGTTTATCGAACCCATCGATCGCCAATAATGGTCATTTCAAATCCGACACAAAAAGATAGAAATTACAGAAGAAAAATGAAAACTTTTATTGCTCCCATGAAATCTCCATATATAAGATATATAGGTTCCTATAGGCCTATTTCTTTCTCAATTTATATAAATTTAAAGCATTATCAATCACTTTGCTAAACAAGAGAAAAAAATGTTATTTCTATTTTTCCTAATATATTTTCGCACTGAGAGAGTATTTATCAGTCTAGATGGAAAAACAAGATATGGTGTTCCAATTTCTTGCAATCGACTCTGGTAATCGACAGCACACAGTATTGCAAGTTCACTTAATTCAGGATAAACATCGTATATTTGTTACCGGTATATAAAAGCCCGACACATATTCTAATAAAGAAGGACACTGAAAGTCTCTTGTTTGATTTAGTCTTTGTGAGTAATAGGTTATGCCTATAGTAAATTATAAAAAGGGTTATTTTTCTGCACTAAATAAACTATGTGCACTATCTAACTTACCCATAACTCCTACGGTATTTTAACAAATTCCCCAGAAATTGAATCGAATTGATATCCAAATTTATATCGCCTCTTACTGAGCATCATTCGTCTTAAACAAACATCAGACCACTTACCTAAAGTGCACCTACCCAGAAACACCATGGGCTCGAGCCGGCAACGATTGTTTAACATTATATTTATTTCTTTCTTTTGTCATGCGTCTAGGAAACGAGTTATATTGTCAATTGTTGTTCTTGATGAAAACAATGTTATTCTGATTCGCATTTGCACAATGGTATCGGTTTCCGCTTTATATCATGTAAACAATCTTTAGGTCCACAGGTTAATAGCATTGGCACACGCAGGGCCTACTAGTATTTGCTATTCTAGTTTGCTTTGTTACGATTATGCAAATATAATGAAAGTATCTGCCAGTAAGGTGTAAGCTAAATTGTGTCGACTCATTGGATGTATTCTTAATGGTATTTCTACTAGTTGTGGACCCAAAATGTGACGAACGTCGACTCCGGGTCCAACAATCGACAAAAAGTCCGAACCAAGGAGCCGCCAAGAACCTCTGCCGAGTCCAGATATAAAATTCCAGTTAAGGTTTTTTTTTTAGAATGGCCCAAATATGTAAATTTAGACCACAATATTATGGATTGGCAATGACAATAGCTTTGTTCGGATCAACAAATTTTTAATCCGATGACATAATCGTGGCGTCAGACGACTGGGTCTATATTAGGCAGAGGAGGGGATTTTCTACACTCTCCGACACCCCCTGATGGCTTAGCCAATGAATTTTAAACAATTGCATGTATTGATAACATTTTTGAAGGTTTTCCAGATCTAAGCGCACGCACCTTCACACCGTTCACATCAAAAGAAAATCAGCTCATATCCCCTTATTTTTCCAGCTAACACCCCCTCACTTAATCATTGATCCACACTTAACCTTCGTTCTACCTCCAATCATATATCCTTTAAAGCGTCACTATGTACCTCCCATGAACTGTAGAGTGACATTTACTTTATAGTTCAAGATGTCAAACCTCCCTTGAACTGTCGCCTTGACATTTACTTTATAGTTCAAGATGTCAAAAAAGTTAGCCTGGGTTCCAGGCCCTAATTTTGGGTTACTAACTCTTTCTTGCGCGCCATACCAAATTTATTTGGTGTCCCATACTCGATTTCTTTTTTTTTTTCGCTTATTCTGTCTCAAAATTAACTTGCTTGTTAATGACGTGGCAAGTCTACAAAAAAGTCTGCATGTAGTAGTGACGTAATCTCTTCAAATTACCAACATCCTGTCTCTAAGTTTAATAACAGCAAGGCTTCAACTAAAAATAACGACATGTGCAGTTCATGATGGTAATGTACCTTACATTTTAATCCAATAAAAATGAACTGAACCGAAAATGATCAAAATACTTTGATAGGTAATACGTAATAATCAACATGTCTGAGCACCTGAAACCCTGAAACATCAACTAATATTTATTTGGCAGACATCCTGTTACAATTTTGTTTGTGTTTGATGCATATAAATGCTAGAGCAGTCAGCTCTCACATTTATTGACATTATATTTAAATTATAGTACTGTAATAAGATACAAAAGTCCAGATGCTCTAGAGGGCGATATATACGTACGCTATTATCAATAATATTAATAATACCATGGAGGTATAACAATTTTCATACCTTCATGATAATACTATATAAAAATAATAATAATAATATAGTAATAATAATAACAAGTATTGATAATAATTAAAAGCTTATAAACTCTTTAACACCATGAAGTATAAATTGTTACACTAATAAAAACGAGAATAAAATAACATCATTTAGAGCAGGCCTAGCAATCATAAATAACAAAATAGTTTTGATACTTTGACCACACAATTAATAATTGCCTTACCTCAGCCACAACCATGGTGGGCTGAGGT